AGTCATTGACTTGGCAGGATTCTGTGTAACATATTCACTTGCCGCTTGATTCACTGCTCCAAGTATAAGCGGGTCAACATTCGCCGAGATTACTTTCGCCTTCACTTTGTCTGGTTTATCTCCTGTGCTTCTTGTGCTTCTTACATCAACACTAGTTATTTCTCCTCTACACCTAGACCTTAAAATCGTGTAGTGTGTTTTGCTCGAAGTGCGTAATTTGTAAATTGACACGTTTCGTGGACTCCTCCAAGAACGATTTCTGTGAGCACGGACGACCTACAATACTGGTGATCAGAGAATTCACTTGTTTTTTCAGTTCTTCGAGACTAACAAATCGGTCAAGGACAGCTTTCAGCACCTTTCCTTGCTACCTGCTTCGCGAGATTTCGATTTCACGGCGAATGCTTGAAGCGTGACCATTCTTCTGGGATCGGGTTTCGGTACACTGGCAGAATGTCACATCCTTTACATGGCTTTTTCCAATCGCATCTATTTTTCCATTGCTGACTCAAGATGCGGAATTTTACCTTTTACCCTCCATTTTATGTTTCTTGAACACAACCGCTCAGAGTCAGCCTTGGAGTCAACCGCTCAGCACCTCCGCAAAGCCGAGAATTTTCAACAGCGTTCGATATGAGAAATAATCAGTATATTTTCGTTAAGTAAAATTATTTTTCGTTATTCACATCAAACCATGCTAAGGTTCATATCTTTCAAAACAGAGACATGCACTGTTAAGATCGACGAAAGCATTGAAAACGCTTAGAAATTTCAAGATGACAAGAAATTAATTAGCAAAAAATGAATTAATATCTGTCAAATGTCTTTTTTATCGGAACCATTTTTTGTTCTGTAGTAATATTATTACGATTAATTTTTTCAGAAAATTTAAAACGTCTCTTACAGCACTAGATTTTACAAGAAATTCCACTTCTTCCGTACGATAAATAAGAGTAGGAATGGATGCATCTGGAAGACATGGCTCACTATTTGCTTTCCTCAACGTATCCAAATTACAATTTGAAGTTTCGTGACTGAAATACACACAAAAATAAATAATCACTATAAATAGGAAATGGCAAATTTTTATGAGTGCATTTTTTTCCTTTAATTTATATGCTGATCCAACAAATTTATTAAGACAAAAACCAATGATTTGCTAATAATTAATTCTATCCCACTGATAATAATTAATTGATTTCCATTAGAAACAAAACATAAACAGATAAAGAATTCAAAAAAAAAAATTGATAGATGGTATTATATATGCATTCTATCTAAGCTGATTACAGTGATATGACAGATTCACGAATTATTATCAACCAGTGATATCCGTCTTAAATGAAAATATATATTGGTCCATAGAGCTGAGATAATACAATTCTTGTACGTGGCAACAATTCTGTCTGCTTTTTTTGTGTTTTGTTTCCATTCATCAATAGCACATCAGACAAAACAAATTTGCATAATAATTTTTACTCAGAATTTTTTTTCAATTCTTGCTTAGCACCGTTCGTTGTACACATGTATTCTTAAATTAATTACCCTGGACTCACCTTTCAATATTTGCCGAAAAGCATGACAAAAACTGAACTGGTTGGCAGATAAGAACAGAATTAGTCGCATGATTCGAAATGAAATATTCGTTCAGTACTGATAGCAAACGTTGACGTCGTGCAAATTGCACAGCTGACAACACGAGCGACCATACAAAAAATATCATCAATATTCTGCAGTTGGCGTAATCAAATCATTATGAATATATGAGTCATTTCCAATTGTATTTCTTTTTGGTATTACTTATTTTCATGGCAATCATCGAAGTGAATTTAAAAAATTTGCATCGGACTACATTTCTATTAAAGCATATTAGCCATTGATTGCAGAAAGGATAAAGGCTTAAAAGTTCGATTTATTGAATAAGCATAAGGAACCAACATGATGCAGTTAGTGATAAATCGTGATCTTGGACTTGAAAATACGATTAAAATGAAAAGGAAACACAGTAAAATCAAATTTATTTATTCTAATAATACAAAACTACTTAAAAAATTTTTTTCAAATGAATTTCCTTGCATCTTCTTTAAATTTATTGATAAGATCTCTAAACTAAGAATTTATTCGAAAATGGTCGATCATAATCGGAATAACAAATCTGTTACTGAGTTATCTTTAAAATACATACTATTGCATTAAGAAGTGGACTAAACGCAAATCCCTTCTTTCTTGGAAAAAAGAAAACAAAAACAAACAAAAGAAAATTGTAGTACTTCCAGATGTCCTATGAACAATAAAATTTCTTGATGGGCATTTTTTAAATTAAACTATTAGATTGTGATTTAGTGAGGTAAAAGATCTTACAAGTACAATGCTTATTATTGCCATATTTTCAAATAATCAACACAAAAAATAACAAAAATGCACCAAATGCAACGAAAATTAATTAAGCAGAGTAAGGTCGCTGTTAATTTCTCATCACTTTAATAACGTGAAGTACCGGTCTAAAATACACAGCTTAAATTTTTTTTGTTCGTAAATAATATGAATTTATAGCAGTAGAAACATTAATATTAATAAGAATTTACGTATACTGCTAAAACTCAAAAAGAAAGACACGCACTCTTAATTTCCTGGCATGAAAGTTTATTTGCATTCCAGAAATAAAAATATATTTATAAAAATCAAGCACTCCGTATTTTAGAATCTTTTCATTATCGAAAAGCTAAGCATTGACAATTAAAGCCGGTTTTTTCTTATTAATAATTATGTGACAACTTCTGTATTACCTGACTGTTAATATTGTTCTGCTTCAGTACAGTGAATTTAATCTAGTTCTCTTCGCATGAATAAGCAGTGAGTGAAGTGATTACATTATTGACTAGCAGAAATTTGAGCATGCGTTAATTTGAAAAGTTTCCAGAATTGACCACAAACTACTCCGCAACCAACTCCTTTCAAAAAAATCCTCAAAATCAAACTGCTACGCTGAATATTTATATAATACTCACAAGACATGAAATTCAGCCATGACTTTTCTACTAGGATTATTCACACAAAGAATTATTTGCATTGTAGAATAAAAACAGAGGCAAATGCAATGTCAGGATAATATACATTGCTCATTACTTATCACTTTTAGCAAGTGTTTCTTATGCTTAACAATGAGTAGAAATAACCGTACGAAGATCGCTGCAACACAATAAATAAATTCCAACTTTAATTCATTGTAATTGTGATCAGACAGTGAGTCTATCTGTTTTCAAACAAGGTAGCCAAAAGCAAATACCAAGCACAAAATGCTCTAATGTTGGAAATCCTTATTTCTTCTATAAAAAAATGTAGATATAATGCTAGCAAGAGATGAAGGAGTAAGAAGGAAAAAGTAACACAGAAAGAGTAATAAGTAGCTTTAGGACAGACATTTGTCAATACATACTTTCATTCTTCTAGACCTAGTCATGAAAAAAACGTTAAGCAACCTTGCTTCTCCGACAGATTCGCAATTAATAGCTTCCTTATACAGAATGGATTGATGAAATCTTCTTGATATTAATTTCTCCCAGTATACATGGTTCGCCTTCCTAGTCGTTTTATGTTTGCATTTACAGGAGTCTGGTTAATGTTATCTCATTGTTGTTTAATTAAATCAGTAAAAGTTTAAGTAATAAAAAATTTTTAATTATAGATAGAAATAGAAATCAAAATTTTAGCATTTACCAGCGTGTGCGTCAATAAATACTGTGCCAAATTTAAAATTTTTTCCTTTTTTTATTGCCAAGCACTATCTATATTTTATGAAATATTCATACGTTGGCAATAAAATATTATGCGTAAAATGCTGAAGCCAAGATGTAGAAAATAAAGTATCATACGAAAATTTTGTGTGCTATCAGAAACTGTATATTATGAGGACTTATTACCATAAACACCATCAAAAGTACCAAATATCCTATTGCTTCCCCATACTATTGACGGTCAAATACCTGTAAGCTAATATTCCTCTGCAACAAAAAGTACAAAAAATGAAACCCAAAAAACTATATCGGAGATAAATGTCCCAATACAGCTTTACTATATGCTATGAATGACCCACTTCTCACATCCCTTCTAGATGATCATATTTTGGATAGATTGCATCTTTCTCAACTTCCCAATTTTTTGGTAATAAAAACTACCAATGTAGTAGAACTGATGAACAAGCCAAGTAGTAGTGCTTTTCAAATGAAGACTGTAACATCTAAGATTACGAAAGTGAACAATCTTTGCGAGGAGATTTTTTGATTTTGTGAGAAAAGAAATGAGTATAATATTTATTAGTAATAAGTATGAAAACAAATAAACTTCAATAGTATGGACATATTCTCCTATTATTTTATAACATGTTAATGTTAAATAGTGTAACAACAAATGCTCGTTCAACTGAATTAAAGAAAAACAAGGAAATAATACACTCATACCAAAATTTTTTTAATATTCATACTAAAATTTTGACCTTTAATAAATTTTAGAAACAAAAATTTATGTGTAAAAGCAATACGCTCAATAACAAAATCTTCAAAAGTCTTGTAATTCGAAATCATGATTTTCCAGAGTATAAAAATTCAAGATATCAGCAAAAAAAAATGATTTTGTGATAAGCAATCTCCTGGAATTATTATGTTTGTAGAATCAACATATTTTTTACATTTTAATAATATTTCGTTTCATCCTTAAACTTTCAAGTGAAAACCTTCATTTTTGTTTTCCTAGACTTTATTTCTGATTTTCCCAATCGTGAAACGTCAGTAAAAAGCATCACCTGTGACTGCTCTTCCACCTGCTTTTGAAAAAGTTTCAGAGCCGCAAAATTAAAACCACAGATATTCTGTAAGCAAAAATATTAGACAAAATTAACTCTGAAAATATATGTAAATTGATTCAGAGGTTATCGAGCAAAATAATAATAAATGATGTAAACTTTGCCAATTTTCTTCGCTACATGGAGCATTTATGTACTTATAAATAATTTGTGACTTAGCTGAAAAATATAACTACGATAAATCATACAAAAAATGAAAAAAACACTAACTCGCAATTCACTCAATCCTTGCGTGACTTTATGACTCAATTCAACCAAATGAAGTACAAGATCATTTTGTGTAACAAGATAGTTGTGATGAACTCTGAAGATGAATACGTTAGTATTGTAAAAAACTGTGACGCGAATGGAAATTTTATGAAGACAATACTCGATAAACTACAAAATTTCGTCTTATCTAAGATAAAATGAATATCAGTATGATGAAAATTTTTTGATCACAATTTGAAAATAATCTTTACTGTTGCAAAAACATGTTTCTTACTTTCTACTGATTAATGGTAAAACTGTTTCTTACTGAAAACAGCACAAAAAAACAGAGAAGTCATAGAATGCGCGAACTCACTTCACAAGAAATAGAATCACACGTGAAGCAAGCTCTGCCTTGTAATGTTTTCCAATGCAAACACCTAATGCTTTAATAATATCTGGAACAAACGCGAAAGGCACCATCAATAAGCTCTTTTCCAAGTGACTGAAAACTACAACTGAGGAAAAATGTACTAGTAGTAAATGAAAAAAAAAAATCAACCTTGACGGCACACGATTAATTACGTCCAGAATGAAATGATCCAGTGATGCGCTTTTAAAGTACGACAATAATGGATGTTTTTCGTGCTGGAAGAGAAAATGAACAGAAATATTCACGAAGAAATTTTTAAAAAATTTTGCGACAATTGTTATAACTATAGTTTTAATAGAGAATTTTGATGCAGAAAAATATCAAGGAAAAGAAACTTTTGTATCCTCCAGAACTGCTATTCTTTCACTACGAGCAATCTCCAATGCCTCGACAATATCCTCCATCTGCAACTATTTTCATTTAAGAAGAATTCTGAGATAAACATAGAAATCATTTTACGACTTCAAGGAAAAAATTATCACAATAAGAAAAAAATCAATAAGTTAATATCTTTAATGCAATAAACAAAAATGCAGTAAACTTTTTCTTCCTTGATCGAATATCAACTTTCAGAAAATGTTTTTAAAAATGAAATTGCAAGCAGCAAAGCAGAAAAATGACGAACCGACTTGATACTATCAATACTTTTCTGTACAGCCAGCTCTGCTTCACTATTTTTTTCTTCTCCGGGCACAATATCCACCAACTGAGTGAGAAGATTATCACTTTCCTTTTCTCGCTTCATTTCCTGCTCTGCTCCCAAAACAATAATTTGCTCTGTAAGTTCCCAAATTCGAATGGATTTGTCATGAGAAGCAGAAACCTACAAAATAAAATAGTGAATAAGGACAAAAATTTGAATATCAAACTTCTTAAAGCTTCGAAAAAAAATTTGCAGACTTAAATTTCTAAACGAAATAGATCAAGAACGCACAAGATATTTTCCATTAATAGTTTGAGAAAGTGCCCAAATCTCAGCAGAATGTGAATCTAGAACTTGAACACATTCAAATTTGTCAGCGTCCCACTGTTTTATCAAACCATCTTTGCCTGCCGACCATACTAAATGTTCGTCCGGTGAAAACAAGACACATGTTACTCTGAAATAACTTCGGGTTTATTTCAAATCAGAAAAAGTAAATAAGCGCGTGAAGAACTATGCAGTGATGTAAATCAAGCGACTTACAGGCTGAAGCTACTATAAAATTCTGCAAAGTGTTTATAACAGAAATGATTAAAATCAAATCTTATGAATTTTTCGGCTTGTACGGGCAACAAAAAACAAAATGAAATGAAATATGAACGAACATGTCACCATGCGCATGAAAAGACTTATGACAATCTCCAAAGTCTAATCCCCAAATTTTCACACTTTTGTCGGCTGATCCAGTCGCTACTAACTTGCTATCCTGCAGAATGATATACTTTTAGCTACAAAAATTACAGTTTTTGACGTGGTGCAAAAATAACTGTTTTCGAATTAAAAAGGGATGAATGATAACATGAGACATGAATTAGGTAAACACACATGCGAAATGTCAATAGCTATAACAGGAAGCGAATGTCCATAAAGTGAGACAAAAAACTTCAGCGTATCCATGAAATAAACATGTGCTGTATTATCTAATAATCCAACAGCAAGAAAATGAGAATTATTACTAGCAGCTACGCAGAGAGCTTCGTCTGGTACTTCCAGTATTCGGCAAGGTTCAAATGACAAACGTTTTCTGAAGGTTTACAGAATATGAATAGGAACTATTTCACAGCAGCATTAAAAACATAGGAAAAGTCAGAATGTCCGTAATTAGCATGTCACGAAACTATGAACAAATACCAGATCTCAAAATACCTTGTTCCTTCGTTCATCAATTTGTATGTCCAATACCGAACTTTTTTGTCACTGCCACATGAGATGAAGCCAATCTAAAACTAAACAAGTGCATAAGACATAAACATGAAGCAAGAATAATTCAATTTTTTATATCTACTCTAAAAAACTTGAAAATAAGAGATGGAAAAATTTGACAAAAATATAGACTTTATCAGGCGTCGATATGACACGCCAAATAGTCCCTTCGTGAGCTCGTTTAACTATTTCGAGTAATTCATTTGTTGCCAATTCAAATAGGAATATATCACCGTTCTGAAAACATGGGCTTCTTGAATAATGAAACTAAAAGTAACCTGACATATGAATACAGAAAAGATTCTCAAATTACTGATTAATCGACCTTTGTTCCCAAAACGACATGCTTGTCACCCGTAACGAACAATGATGCTGTGATATCAGCCATATCATGATCTTTCAACGTATGTGCAATCTGAAAGTTTTCAATTTTGATAAATTTTTCTTATAAAATCTGTTACTTATATGAATAAATTAAAACATGTAAAACTTTTAAACTATCATCATTTAAAAGAAGAGATTATTACTTTAAGACTGTGCAAATTCCAGACGATAGCGGCTTCCGCACTTCCCGAAACGAAACCAGAGCCACATTCAGAAACAGCAAGACAACGAACATCAGTACGATGACCCAACTGACATAAATGAAAAGGAGTCAAGCATGATATTGGAACAAAGTGTTTTAATTAATAGATTGATGACTACATAATGTATATCATGCATACTAACTTGGTTCAAATCAGCTAAGTCCATACACTGAACTTCATTAGATTTACAATTGATCAGAATCGTTTCAGATAAAATCGTATTTGTTGCATAGAGTATATACAACTGAAATGACATATAAATGAAAGTATTTTTAGTATAGAGAAAATGAAATTAAGTAGAAAAGTTATTAACAAATTTTTGGGCAACCAAAAATTTAGTTGAGCTACCACTTGATGTGATTGTATGAAAGAATATTACGTCTTATAAAGAAAATTCAAAGCCTTAAATCGATTTTATCTTAAGTTTAAGAAAAGAATGAAAGAAGTTTATTCCGAAAATATCGTTTGAGACGAAACCTGATACTGACGCATTCCTTCTTTAGGCTGTTTCACGGATGGACTAAAATCAACCCATTTTACTTTACCAGTCGGTACATATTCACCAATTCTTGAAATCAATAGTGTGACATCTTTTGCGACATCGCTTTCAGAGACAGTTTCTATCCCACCGCTACAAATAAGAAAGTATTTTTAATTTGTATCATAATAGCAAAAAAATCCAAAAAACCAATTAAATGTACTTTTCGGCTGATTTCTTTCGAGCCTTGCTAAGTTTCTTTTTAAAGCGCATTTGAGATTCATTTTCGTCATAAATTCGAAATATATCAACGCAATAAGACGAACCCTTAATAATCATCCCTTTCACATACAAAAGAAAAATATTAAGGATTTAAAATGGAACTGAAAAAGTGAAATGCAACAATTTTCAGAGCAAGAACCACGTTTTCTAATACTTCATTTCTTTATCGCAAGCAATTTTTCATTTCACCAGGTAATAGGGAAAAAAAGGGTGTTGAACACGATGAAACTGACAAAAACAGTATCGTCTCGACCTTAATATAATTTTCTAGTTTCTGAACTTACCACACAAGCGACAAGTTTTTCATCTCGACTTACAGCAAGCTGAAGACATCGACCTTTGGAATGTCGCAATAATTGACCTCTTTTCACACAACGAACAATATTCTGAAAACATCACTAACATGATTATAAATACTACGAATATTAATTGTATAATAACTAGACCTTTTGATAACCCGCATTCCGAAAATCTCACTTTACATTACTTACATTTTCTTGCGCATCAGCGAACCCAACTTCACTGTCTTCAACTTTTGCTTTTTTTAAATTATCTTCCCCTTCGAAATCTTCTTTATCAAGCCAATGAATATCGAAAACTCGCAATTCCAATTCTGCTGATCCAACCAACAAAAGGCTGTCATTTTTCAACAGTGAAAACGAATAAACCTTCAAGCAAAGATAGACAACAATGTATCTTAAATTCTCTATTCTGCATTGATATAAAATATTTAAAAAGCAATACGAAAGAAATCAAATATGAATAAATTTAAAACCTCTGAGTGACAGTCGACTATCGTGAAGAAGCAACTTTGGGATTCCATACTCCAAAACTTGATATATGTATCTTTTGAGCTGTAACAATGAAGGGTGATTTTCGGCTCTCATGTCGAAGATTTTGTTTTCAAAAAACTGAATAATGAAGTCTTAGCTCAGCTTTTTATGTTCAACATTTGCAAATAGTTTTTTATATAGTCTACCAACAGTAGATGGTTACTATGATTAAAGAAATTAGACTGAATTAACTGAAAAGTGTGTGGAACACCTGCTTAAAAGAAATCGTCCACTACAAGTAAACTGTAACTGGGTTACTGAATTTTTGTGTCCATTCAAACGAAACAGACCAGATTCATTAACAATATCCCAAGTAACGACTGCTGAGTCCTATAATGGAAATAACACTGTTTCTGTACTTGAAAGATGGAATAATTTATAACAACTGGTACTCATCTTTTTCCATTCTTCGAAGATTTGTAGTCCAAAGTACAATAGAAAAAATTTTAGCGAGAATTTGACGTTATTATTCATAACAAAAGCTGAGAATAACATGAAAACTAAAATGTTTTCCCAGATTATATTTTGATTGCTAACGCAAGTAATAAAATTGGACGACTAATAATACCACGTTTTCAATACAACTCAAACTAAACGTGTTTTAACAAAAAAATTTCCACGACATAGATATCACCAACACTCTATTGCGGAGAAAAAACAAAAAACAAACTTTCCCACCGGTAGCAAGCACTAAACTATCTTTACTGAATGCAATGCAATTAACAGCTGTTCGATGACCACAAAAAGTGATATATGTTGATCGATCTGAAATTCTTAAAAACTTCAAAACAGGAGATAAATGTTAAGAAGTTCAAATCTTTACAATATTTCTGCCATTCTACTTGCTTTAACCAATATTTTCTAACCATCGTTTTTTCGGTCATATAATCGCAGAGTTCCATCGACAAATCCAACAGCAAGAAACTGTCGATTTCCACTAAATTTCATAGTCGAAACAATTTTATCTGACCCTTTAATCTCATCAACCTGACAATATAATTAAGCTAAAAACACGTTTACCTGGTAAAATATTTGAAATGATGACTATAATGACATTTTGTTATCATGGAAATTTTATATGAGCAAACTCAATATAAAATAGAAACTCAACAGTAAATGCTGAATTATTAACAGAATCTCTTGGAAAAATTTTTGAACAGTCTAAACGAAGATTGTGCATTTCTAACGACATAATAGATGATATATAACAAACTTTTTCCCCTAACTTCATATTGTAAAAATGAACGTTTTCACAGGCTGATGCTGCACAAATATTATCAGTGATAGCAGCAACAGTTCCATTACTAGATGCGACAACATTGCAGATTCCATTTGGTGAAAATCGCAAATACTGTTTAGTCAATCCCATTGCTGGAAGTTTAATTTCTACAAATGAAATTACCAGAAAATCTTTACAATATTTTACTAGCCTGGAAGATAAATACAAAACTACAAAGCTGAATCTAAAATTGCTCCAGACCAGTTAACGTACTCTATTGGTTTCAAACGCTCTAGTTCTTTCTATTATTTTCAATAATTCCAATTAAAGAAAAATAGAATAAATGTGGAACTAAAAACCATAAAAACCATCCCCATCATATTCCCCTATAGCGGAAACAGCAACTAATTTCAAGAATCTTTTCTCTATATATACATCATTTCGATGTGTCACAATATTTGAACTTGTGTTTCAGTTTCAAACCACTGTGAAAATGAATTATCCAAAATAAAGTGATCATGTGGCAGCTCAAAACGATCTGATGCTCTTAGTCATTGCTCATTTTGATTAAGCAATTACAGTGTAGTATAAATCAGTAGGAGTTGGAAGATGTTGTACTTCTACAGATAATTCAAAGTTGCTGTCAAGTAACTCAATATTTATTACTCAGATTTGAAGCATTTCAGTAAACGAGTTACAATCTATAAAAGAACTAAAATATTTTTCTGAACCGAGGGTTAAATTTGAAACTCATTATATTTAGTGAGTTTTTCTTTTCAGAAAACAATAGTTAATTTGAACTTTAATTCGAGATTTCGCATTTCTCTTCGCTTGAAACAGCATGCAATTTTTGCATATTAATCATTATTTTGAAAAATTTTTATGGTAGGTAATAAATATGTTCTCTCACTGGGTTTCAAAAAAAATTTCTGAATCGGTTGACTGCATACTTCAAGCGCGAAAACTGCAGATTCCAAAGTTTGTTCTTGAAGAGTTTACGATAAAAACAAGTTTATATAATGCGAATGTTTTATGGTATTTGAATTAGGCAATCGGCTTCCACCATTAAACGTGCGGGATGACAAAGTGAAGATAATTGAATTTGACATGAGAGGGATAAAACAAGTCAGATTTTTTATATTCTCATTTGCAAATAATTTCTACTTTTAATACCATAAAAATTCAAAATACGAAACAATGCTTCGTTTCTTAAATATTTGAATTGCAAAGATAAATTTGTGGGTAATGACAAGCTTCTAAAACTATCAGCTTTTATTCCTAACTCTTTTTTTCACATTTCTTTATATCAATACAATTTTTGTCCAAATCTGTATGCACGAATGAAATTCTTTACTGCAGCATTACAGGTACTGCCAACACTTCAAGAAGATGGTGATGTTATACTTTTATTCAAGCAAAATAAGACGTTACGTTACATATTGATAAATCTTTATTAGCCGTGCATTCTTATTATATGAGTAACAGTTTATTAGATTCTTCAAAATAGATACTGGTGTAATTAATAGGAATTTCTCCATATGAATACGTATTTGTATTATTTTTTAAAGTTACAGTTTTTTTAAACTTGTGTATATTTTTACTTCATTACTGTTTTCGTGTGATCTAGCGTTGTAAATTTATTTGATTATATTTACTGTGATAACTTGTTAAAATGCTTTATTAGTTAATTGGGTATAGATGTGATGCGTTAAAATAGAGGTGTCAGAAAACTTAGCACTGTAAAATAGTACTTATAAAAGGGAGAGCGAAAAAAATTTGTATCGTCAGTGCGACAGAAAATTGGTACTCAAAGATCTTTTTCGTCTTCACGAATATCTTTTGCTTCAAAGATCTTTTGCTTACAATAGTTTATTTTTTGATCTAATTTGCTTGTGAATTATCTTTTAACTAAAATTTGCAAGCGTTTTTCAATTTATTAGTTTTGTTGTCAAATTTTCACTGGCTGCTCAATACTCATTTTGAAGGTAGCACATCTGTTTTATTTCATGAAATTGATGCTTTCTATAGTGCTTCAATATTTGAACCACCATGATTTTTCCAGAAACAGTGTTATCTGATGTAACACCTGGATCTACAATAGACATGCGCTTGTTTTCCACCATGAAATGTTTCTTAAATTGCTCTATCAAATATACGATACCAGTCGACAGATTTCGGCAAACACATATTATCTTGCACGAGCTGCATTGAGTTATATAGCAGATGTCATTTGTCACAAATCACCAAATATATGATAGGGCTTGATGTAACTGCAACACTTTTTTAGTTTCAATTAGTGAAATCAAAAATAAATACTTATATTTTCGCATTCTTGCAAGCAACTAAAAGATCCTAATGACTGCGGAACCAAATATCCACTGATAATTTCATGATTAGTATTAAGAATTAGTCTTAACAAAATATAAAGCAAAACAATTTTTGGTTACTAAATCAAAATTCTATCCAGTTTACGTGGCATTTTTAAGTCAATAAAATATGGTAAGTTTAAAAATTTTGCAATAGATACAATCATATTGGCCTGCTGATACTTAAGATTTTCTTACTGTTTGTTAATGTATTTAAAAATACTTCACTTGCCATTCTAGTCATTAGCAAATATGTATATTATTTTTTTACTCACTGATACTTTTTTAGATGAAGCTTGTAGCATAACTTCGTTTAGTCAATCAGCTGCAGTTAGATCAAACTTTAAGGGAACTAGTGGACATTGCTGATCAACAAGGTTTGTAAGTAAATCCTTTTAAAGTCGATCTTTGAAATTAAAATTTTAGTTTTTGGGCAGTTAAGAGAGTTAATTCGAAAGATGTTTCCATATAATTATAGTGCATGGTAAATTTACAGTAATGCAATAACCAAAATTAGTTAAAATAAGTGAAAATCAAAACGATAAGCTTTCCAGATCACTGGACCAAACTCATTTAAGAAGGATTTGAGCCGCGGTCGTTAGGCACTGAAATTTACCACAGCATTATTTGTCCTGCAATTATTAAAGTATTTTTTGACAATTTTAAACAAGTTTATAACTAAACTGTGATTTTTGTCGAATGACGCAAATTTTCCACCTCAGTTTTATAATCAAAAGTTGCTTCAAAAAAGTTCAAATAAGCAGTATTTAGGCACGCAAGTATCGTGTTGGTGTCAATCCATTTTTATCGGCATCATACACTTTTAACATTCCACGATATCCATATACCTTGCCGTTAAAAGTTCCCGGTCGAATATTACATGTTAATAAAGAAATCTTGGCCCTGGATTGACAGATTATTTTTTGCAGCCTCTCAAGACAGGAAATCATTGAAAGGTTTTGAATCCACGGAAAACAGGATCTCCTGAAATTTTGGGAAGTATTACATTAAAATATAATTCTTAAATGTTTAAATTGTATTTCTCTGAAGCTGAATTCATAATTTTGATAGAAATTCAATTTCTTTTCAAAGTTTCAAAAACAAGACCGATGATTTGATAGCACTAAAAAAGTTTCAAGACTTGCCGCAAAATGTCAAAGACAAAATTTTGGATCGAAAATGTTTTGGTTGGGCACTCAATGATCCAAGTTTGATAAAGCAAGTTTGAAACAGTCTAGTCTGAGTGCATTAACAGTCTAAAACTATGATTTAAGATAATATATATTTCTGAAGTATGGATCAGCACCGCATTTAATCATTTGTATTTCATATGATACGGCCATTTATTCATTCATAACCGACCTATTTCAGTATACCTACTACCCATTGGAAACGTACAACAACACTAACTTTTGGTGGTCCTGTCTCAAGTATGCAAGAGAAAGATATAAATATAGCAACCTCTAAAGATGTAAAATCATTATAACTTCATTACTCCACAGAAAATATGTTGTCAGGAATTCCCAAATAATTGCATAAATTTTTATTTCACATACAATGACAGCAGTAGGAGCAAAACTTCACTTTATTACACAATTGATGCTATGATAATTATAAATGCTGCAACTTAAATAAATTTGTCATATGACTTACGACAACATGAAATAATTGCTGCTGTGATTTTCTTAAATAGTATTTTTCAACACTGATATGGGGTTGATATGAGGTTTAAACACTGATATGAGGTTGACTCATAAATTAAGTTTGCTCTTCTTGCATTATGAATCCAAGTATATATAAATTAGGCATGCAGTTATGGAAATACATTTTTCATTTGATTTCTTGCAATTCGCAATTTCGAATTAGCAAGAAGAACGGATCGTTTTTCCTCTTCAAGTTTTTTTCATCTCTTGTATGCGTCTAAAAAACAGTTCATGAGTTATCTGACACTTATTAGGAACGTACTTTTTCGAAGTCTTTTCTGTTATGCTTATCTCGTATTTTATGAACCAGCGAGTAATAAATAGAAATATTACTTGTGTTAAGCTTTTGCATTATGATAACGGGCTTTTTGTCTTCAGAAGATTCTTCGTCATCTTCATCCGACTTCTCTTTTCCGGTCCCTTTTGAAGACCTGCTCTTTGTGCTTTCATCGTCATCCTCATCGTCCGGAGTGTGAGACAACGACGCATTTGAAGATATACTTTCAGACATGTCGGTACATGCTGAAGTCGTCGTTTTTCCTTTTATAGAAACAGGCTCTTGCTCAATTTTGTCGGTAGCAAGTGCATCGTTCTGGACACCACTTCTCACTGTTTTAGTTTTGTAAGTTTCTGCTTTAGAGTTATTTGTCACTGATTTGCTGGACAAATCAGACGACTTTACTCCTGCAAGGCGTAAAGTCATTTGCAATGATTTTGGCAGACTGCTCGACTCTTTGGTCAAGTTTACTGTTGGTTTTGATAGAAATGGAACGGTTGATGCCAACGATGTGGGCTTTGTTACATCTGTTCTGGCATTCAAGTGTTTCATTCCTATATCAGGCTTAACTGACATAGTACATTTAACATCTGGTTTTAAATCCGATTCTGCTGGTATTACGAAAGATGAGGAGCGAAACACGCTATTGTTAGATTCTGATGGAGATGGCAATCGCAACATAGAACTTGAAAAATTCACTGTCCAACTCGGTAATACCCATTGTGTTGATGGAGAGGAAGACGGAGAAGACGATGTAGGAGAGGAAGGTGAAACTGGTATTTGCCTTTTTGATTCTGGTGGTGTTGCTTCGGACAAAAGACTTAGAAAATCTGACAATCTTTTTTCTGATTTTGGATGTACTGAATGAACCGGCGGAAGTGGAAACGGTAGTTTTGTTTCGGATGCTGGTGCTACTGACTGAGTAGACGACGATTTGCTTTTTAAATTGAGTTCCATTGATGTAGCAACAGTTGATGGACATGACAATTCCCTTTCCGGTTTGGGTTGTAGTGATGTAGCTGGAGTTAACGAACGCGAGGATTCGGTTTTCGGTTTGGGTTGCACTGATGTAACTGCAATTGATAGACGCGATGATTCTTTTTTCGGTTTCAGTTGCTCTGACGTAACAGTTGATGGAGCCGATGATTCATTTTCTGATTTGAGTTGTGCTGGCGTGGCCGATGATGCAAGCCATAGTTTGTTTTCAGATTTTGTTGATACTGAAGGAATTTCGAATGACGGAGAGTGTGGTAACTTTATTTGTGACACTGGAGTCACAGATTGCGCGGGCCTTAATTCACTACGCAATTTTGTACAAATACTTTGAGTATGAATTGATGACGGTGACGATTTTGCTTTCGATTGTGTTATTGACTGAGGAAAAGATGTTAGTTTAGTTTCAGATTCAGACAGTGATGACTGAGTAGAAGAGGGTGGAGAAGGCGATAACTTCTTTTCTGACTCGGGAGAAATCATTTGGGTTGAAGATAGCAAAGAAGGTGGCACTTTACTGTGCTGTTTTAGTGGTAGTGAGGAGGTTACAGGTGACGGATGCGGCAGTAATTTGTTTACTAGTTTTGGTGGTATATTTTGAACCACAGATGATAAAAACGGTATTTTGTTTTCTAGCTTTGGTAGATTCGTGAGTGATGGAAGCAGTGAGCTGCTTTCCGACTTTGATTCATTTAGCTGTGAAGTCGAAACCAAAGGTAAAATTGGTAAATGAGTTTTCAGTCTTGACAAAGTCCGTTGTGTGGATGCCTCATTATCAGTAAGCAATTTTTTCGAACTTACATCAGACTGAGAATCCGAAATATTTTTATCTGATTTTCCCAGCACTGCTTTTGAACTTGATGCTTTGGATATTTGGTTTAAAATGGTGCTAGGTTTGGAGTAGAAGGAGGATAATGTTAGTGACTTCAGCGCAAACGAGCTCCTCAATTCCTTTTGTGATTTATCAGTCAATGTTGTAGCCTGATTTTCATGTTTCTTATCTGATAAGTTGCCGTCTGTTTTCTTAGTATCAAGCGATGAAGCAGAAATTGATTTTGTTTTTGCTTCTTGGAGCTGTGGCTTCTTGTTCCATGTTTTCACTGAAGAATCTTGAGAAAGGCGCTGTGATGAAATCTGCGATACAAGGGAGTTCTGAGTACTCATTTCCATCTCGGAGTCAGAGTCCTTCTTCGCTTCTCGCTCTTTAAACTTCGTTCCCTTCTCTTCTGTTGACACCTTCACTACGCTATCATATTCCTTCTCCTGAATGTCTTAGTACTAACTACTACTGTTGGACAGCTCGTTCAAGCTAAGCATTCATAACTAGAACTCAATTATACAACCATAAAGAATGCTACGAATGCAAACTGATTTTGATATGGAATGCAAAGAATTAGAACTGCAATCTTTGTAGAATGACTGTGCAGTAGAAAATAAATCTGACTTCTTATTCAATTAAAAGTAAAACGCTCCCGTTGATAGACGCACTCTTCTCTATGCACGTCTCTCTCCGTACTTTCTTTTCTGTGTAATTTTGCTTGTGCTACAGAAAAATAATCTACTTCTGACTCACAACAATTTTATGACTGCAAATGACAAAATGAATTTCAGTTAACATACTTAAGAAGTTAGCTTTCTCGTACGTCTGCTGACAATTTGTCGTTAATTTAGTTTCAGAGTAATAATCTTTCTGTCATCTATATAGATAGTAGTCTTTCTTAAAATTTTTGTGTTAGTCTGCTTACAATCTTCAATTACTGATAAAACAAGAGCAATTAAATCATCTCTAACTAATTCATTTTCGCATCATTTTCGTTGCAACATTGGTTATTTCAATATGCTCTCATATCCAATCTATCTGTCTTTTGCAATACTGATACATATAATAATATCTCAGCTAATAATTGAAGCTTTTCATCAGAAACTGCCTTCAGTAAAATTCTTCGTTACATAACTTGATTCAAGAGCCTAATTCATGCGTGCAATTTTCTGTATTACATTACCTCAACACATTCTTCCTCCAATTCTTTTGATCTTTCCCTTTCTTTTTCCTTGCTATCATCTTCTAAAGAATTTTGTGTCTCTTCTACGCCCGTCAGTCTCTTATCTACTTTTTTTTTCCGCCTGGAACTTCCTGTAAATCAAAATCCTAACTCTAGCAATTTCTCTTCAAGTTAAAAAATCAAAATGTAGCGCCAAAAACTAACTATGCCAAAACTATAGTATATGTAAGAAGTTTGCATTTTGTAGCAGCGTTTAATCAATTAGTTCAAAAATATTTACTGTAATTACCTCGTTTATTAATCGACCTATTTCTTTTGTGCCTACTTTTACTTTCCTTTTTATCTGCAAATCGAAATTGCATTTTACATGATAATTTCATTATAATCAGGATTATTTTTTTCATTTGCGTTTGCTAATATAAATTAGTTTTGAAAAGGTCAGGAAAAGCTGGAAGTCATCTACTATTATTCCACTTATCAGTTTTCAATACTGCTTGGGGCTGGTGTTAATAGACGTTAAATTAACTTATTATTGTGAGTTCCAATGCTATTAGTTTGATTTCTCCACATTATCGCTTACGCAAAAACAGCTAATATATGAAGCAGCAACTAAGCATTCGATTCATATCAGAATTAAAAATTTTCCATATTTTTCATTATCTTTTTATACATGTTAAGACATTGTTAGAAATATGAATTTGATTCATTTAAAGACAAAATTTAGTGTGATGTTCCATTAAGTGAGCAACGAGATTTGAATTCGCTGCTTGCTCTACTCAGTTCAACTTTGTTCAGTACATATAAAAATTGATTGAATTCTAGAGCTGTTAATGATTGCAACTTTGATAGTTTCAAGTCTGACCTCAGTATGATTCTCACTTATTTATCATCTACGTTTGTCATCAACAAATGATATTCATATTACTCTATTCTACGTGTAAATGTAAACCGATATAATAAATTTGACGACCATAAACTTTGATTTGTTCCCTTGTCTCTCGAATGGATCTTTTCCAGTGCAGTACACTAACAAATTCTTTTTGTTCTATTTTACTATTTTCATATTTCTGAATTTTTAAAGTATATTTTCATTGTTTAAATTCTGACAAAATGAGATTTAATTATTATAAATTACAGAATTTTTCTCATGCTATAATCCATTCCAGGCAACCTGCTGATTGCTTTCTGGATTTTGTTGACTTTCTAGAAATTGATCCTTTTTGTTTTCTTCCCTTCGATTTTGCCAACTTTTGCTTTCTCAATTGTTTGAGACGTTCATCTTCATCTTCTGCCATCATTTCATTTGGTTCCTCTTCGCTTTCCTAAGGTTTGAATATTGAAAAGACGAAACAAATTGAAAACGTAAAGAAAACTGAAAAACTGCTGATTACGTTTCAATACAAATAAAAGTTTATTTTCCTGATTTCGAAGTTCAGGGAATAATGATAAAATTTTCATGGTCATACTTTCTCCATTCATAAAATTTTACAATGATTTCCAACAGCAGGTTACTATCAACTGCTTACTTTCAACCATCACAGAAAAATCTTACAGCTTATGATTAGAATTTAAAATTATTGTTTCTCATGGTGTGGAAGCCAAAAAGAATAAAAAATGCAAAAATAAACTTGAGGGGCAGGTTCAGGTTGCACCACAACAGAATTGTAAGTAGAAGGGCACACAGAGCTTGATACAGATGACATCAACGACACCATCAGTGAGTCTGGTGGATTTGTTCCTTCGGTAGTTTGTGCTAAACTTGAGCTGGTTTCAGTTTGACTTGGTTTTGGTGGTTCCATGCCATCTTTCCATTTCAAGGTTCTACTTCGTAATTTGCTGTGCGCTGGTCTTCGAACTACGTCAACTTCTTCAAATTCGGTCATTTCTTGCTCATCATCAATTTTTTTCTGCTTCCTGATTGTACCAGCGTATTATGTACCAAAAAAAAAAAAATTGCTCGTTTCATTTTTAATAATTAAGAAAGTAAATGTTCCCAAGCCATTATTACGATACTCATCCACATTTTTCATCAATTCTGAAATAAATTGGCAATGAAACTTACTTAGAGCGAATTCTCCGTCTACTTTTACGCTCAGTTCGACTTCTGAAAAATAAAATGAAAACCAAGATATCAAATTATTCATTAAAAAATCATTTCTTGATAAAGTCATAAATTTTGAAAATTTCAATTTGACGACTTGTAAGTAAGCAAAAACGAGCAAGAAATTTGATTAGTGTTATCATTTTTGCTTAATCTTCGCATTTTTATGCTTGTGCTGTTTATTAAGTGTTTTAATTGTTTAAAAAAACAAGTACCTATTACTAATTCTAATGTCAGATTACTTAATTGAATTCTTTCAAGATAGCTGAAAAAAACTACTGGTGCACATATTTCCTGTTTAAATTGACTTGAATTTCGATTTTTACAATATCTCAAATATTATAAACATCGGGAATCATGATGAATTCTGCCGTACTCAACGTAAACTTTGGATACAAAAATACTATAGCTTTGTTCAACTTTTTTTTTCGGTAGAATAAAAAGCCAACTATGGAACAAAATATTTGATGCGTCAGGACGATTGTTTAGCTACTGATTATTGTAGAAAAATGTATGTTAAATCCAACCAACAACAAATAAACCTTATGAAAAGAATATAAGTTTGTGAATTTGAAAAAGACAATTTGAATTTTTCCATAATAGAACAGATGATTCCAAGCCAGGTCACTCACTATACATGCTAGACATTATTTAGATTTTACTATGCTTAAAAAATTAAAATATTTTGATGAAAAAGGATCTTTCTTGAAAACAAGTAACTGTATTTGAAATTTGATGAAGCTTAGCTTATTCAAGTTTTGAAAGTAATTAAAAAATTGAGTGCCCCAGTAACTAATTTGAAGAATAGTTGACCAGAAATGATTATTTCTGGAAAGTGAAAGAAAAAAAACTATTGAGAGCTGCATACAAACTTTTGCTGAACTCGGTCAACTGACTTCTTGCTTCCTGAAAAATATAATTTTCTCCCTCGTTAATTGGTACATAAATATGCAAAATTGTAATCGACTGATGCAGTAGTTCTGACTCTTTCTCTCAGCTGATTTCTTTCAAGAACTATTTTTTCTGGCAGTTAAACTTTTTTCGAGCTTTCTGGGATGCTATATCAGTACTTACAATCTTTTTTAGGTTTCAGAAAGGATGTACCAAGTAATTGCAACCCAAGAACTGCATATAAATTTTTCGAAACTACTTCCGATTTAGGAAAATTTAAAACTTGTCATGTTGCAATACACACTCTTCCAGCCCCATTTACTTGAATGCACTTAAGCTTGCTTTTTTCAAACTTTTGACCAAAAACACAGGAAACTTTCAACATCCAACACTTAATTTTTGTAAATTTCGGTGCAGTCATTGATTGAAACGGTAGGAATGAAGATTTTCGGAAAACTGATCAATGTTGTGAGAGGCAAAGTCAAGTATATGTAGAAGTTTTACTTTGACTATCGTTTAAAATTTAAAAGTTAGGTAAAATATGGTTTTTAAAACTCACTACTGCTACTTCGACTGGGTTTAAGTCGTCTCATTAAAACGTGTGAAAGTAAAACAGGCAACGTCAGCTCAATCTGAATTAGCGACCACTCATTACAACAATGAAAACTGTAAATAAACTTCCCCATGGCTGTATGAAACCAAATAGTCAGTGATTACCAATGAATCAATTTACTTATGAAAAAGAATATCCTACTTAGGATATTAATTTTCATTCGACTAGGTTAACTCAAGTTATCGTTGCGATGGATGACGATGACACATTTCACTTAGTGTGATCTGTTTTGTCAGTTTTGCAATAGGTTAACATGTTTGTGTTGGCCGTTGGTCTAAGTGTGGATATTATTGGTTTCGCTTTTTTCAGAATTGATGACGGGTCGGTTTTAAGTTACTCTTACATTTTTATTGCCCTATAATACGTTTGAATCCCACACATTTAAATGTTTTCGTGCACACTTTCACTTTTCTTGTTTCTTTGCATAGTTGTTCAAGTTAAGGCACCAGAAAGCAGTTAAATATTATATTGATTGCATTATGAGTATAGAACAAGACCAACCATTGTTTGATCTGCCAGAAGTATATGATAATCGTGGAGGCTGGGGAGCTGTCGGAACATTAGGCAAGTTCCAAAATTTACCTTATCAGCAGTTCAACAAAGCAGATAAAATTGGTAAAGTAGCGGATTGGATCGGAGTTACTCAATACAACGATCGATTTAGACGTAAGTTATCACATCATTTTGTTTTTTCATTTACTTGCTCTTTAGTGAATATCAAAAATTCTGCTTTTCATGGCATAAGTTATGAACAGTTTGGTTTTCATACATTTTTTTGAAATCTGATGTGATTTTTATTTGGAAAGATGCATTTTTGTTTTTTTAGATTTGTTCTCCTCATTATGCATGTTTTTCACTTTGCTTATCACAGGTTATTACTGTCCTATTTAAAACCAATATTTGTGGTCTTCAATTTGGACATTCATTTATAATTCTGTTGAATTTACTTTAAGTGCTTATAAATTAGCGCGCAGATTGTGTTGTTGTTGTGCTTTTATAAATTTCATATTGCATTCTAAAAAATTGTTGTCAACTAAGTATGTTTAGGTGATGGTCGACATGTCAATTTGTACATTTCCGGAGCTGTTGGTTCTCAGTATGATTATGTTCACGATGAAGAAGATGCTACATTTCAGCTTGTCGATACCAGTAGACCGCAACGATCAAATATACAAAAAAGTGGTCGAATGCGGCAGCAGCAACAATTTTATGTAAGGGTAATAGCTCTTTTCGCGGACTTTCAGTTTACTGAAAATTAAATAGGTTTTACCAAAATTTTTAGTTACCATGTTACCATAAACTAGTACAAAACAATAAGAACTAGACAAATACTTTGAGCTATCTGCTTCGATATTACCTCAACTTTATTTTTGTACTGATGAATAATAAATTTACTTTGGCAACAAGTGCATTAAATGATTCTGTTGAGGAATTTTTAGTGAAAATTTTTTTCTCGGTATACATATATTCGTTATTAAAAGTCACGCTGCAAGTAGCTGAAGTAAGTCGTGGGAAAAGTGAAAATTCTACCAAAATACTTCCTAAATGAGCAATACATTTTATTTTATGTGCTCTGTTGTGAATATTTTTTCAGCGGCGATTGGTGCAGAAAGAAAATGAACGAAGAAATCAAGCAAATTATGGGCAAAATCAAAAAATTAAGCGTAGCATTGCGAAGTAAATTAAAATAAAATCTGTTTAGTTTATGAGCAGTAATTAATAAAGATATAACTTCTCACACTTTTTACTTCAATTTGAAATTTTTGCTAGGGAACAACAAAAAGCTTTCAAACAGTGGCAACGGCGTGGTGGTGGTACGCGTGGTCGAGGTCGAGGTGGTCAAGGTTTCGGTCGCTGGGATCAGCGTAACCAAAAGCAGTTAGCTGCAAGTATTGCTGTGCGTCCGGAATGGCAAGTATTGGAAGAGATGGATTTTCCTCGACTTTCGAAGCTGAACTTGCCCAATATTGACTTAGGCTCAGATTTGTATGCGTTTTATTACTGTCAACTGCTTTTTTCTTAGGTGACGATTATCTAGGGGTCTTATTGTCACAGTTAACTAAGAATATTTTCTTCGTTGATTAATGTTCGCAGAGCACGAAATGTACAAAATAAATCAGCAAAGGAAATATATTAGTTTGAGAGTCGTACTAACTTAGTTTTTTAATTCTTCAGAAATGGTCATCGTTATGGTCAACTGTATTATTATGATAAATCATTTGATCGTGTTACCGTAAGAAATGAGAAGCCATTGCAACGCTGTGGTGGTACATTTTATAATTTGACAACAACAGAAGATCCAATCATTCAGAAGGTTTATTTATCGAGTTAGTCTGTGTTTTATATAGCTGTTTTATATGCTGGTCATGCTTCTTTTTTTTTCTTTTTTTTTTTCATTTTCAGTTGGCCCAGGAAAATGCTGGTAATGTCTTTGCAACAGATATGATATTAGCAACTTTAATGGCATCCACTCGTTCAGTATATAGTTGGGATGTTATCGCATATCGTGTTGGCGATAAACTTTTCTTTGACAAACGGGATACCGGTGGCTTTTCTAATCCAGTTGGTATGTTGAATTTTGTCCGTCTCCGTAATTTAAAGTATGAAACGTGATTTCTAGAAAGTTGATTGATTGCTATAACATTTCATAAAATTTAGTCTTTGCTACACTCACATTTAGAAAAGTGTAGTTTATGATTTGAATGGCTCTTAATTGGTGACAAATGTCTTTTTGATTTGGCTAATAAATGACTTTTCCAGTTTATTAAGCAGGTGAAAACAAGTTTGTATTTACTGATTTACAAATTATAGTTTTAATAGTTTTAAATTTTAGATGCCTTAACAGTGAGCGAAACTTCACCAGATGCTCCAAATAGTGATGATGCAACAAGCATCAATCATCCGCGTAGTCTTGCAACAGAAGCTCTCTATATTAATCAAAATTTTCGTCGTATGGTTCTTAAAAGGGTAAAACTTTCTGATATTTTGTACTGATCTAATCAATCTCTTTATGAAACATATTTTCAATTTTTGAGATTATCTTCCAGAATGAAGAACCATTTAAATATGATAATCCACGTCTGCCATTCGATGAGAGTGAGACAGATGCTGATTCATGCGTTGCATATAAGTGAGCACTTTGCCATTACATTTTTTGTTAATATATAATTGGACAGTGTATTATTTGAAAAGCTCGAAATAAAATGGTTTTATTCCTAATAATGAATACTTTCTCAACAATCATTGATGGGGTATGATATCATTGTTTAAATACTTTTTTTTTCGTATTTTGATACTCAAGCTTATTTATTAAATGCCTTTGTTAATTGGCATTGAATATGTAGTAATGAGAATTGTTGTTAGAAAGTCACATAAATATTTAAAAAGTCTGTTTTGAAAATCCCATGAAATTATTCTCATTTGCAGTTGTGTTTTTGGCGCCAGGTTTTTATGTGTTATGAAATCTTTTCTTAAAAGATAACCAATTTCTAGATTATAGCCATATCCAGCAAATCATTATCAAAGTTTGTATTCCTATTATTTTTGGTAATTAAATCTACTGTGCATTGAAGGTATCGTTCATGGAATTTGGGACGTCAGACGAACGGTACTGAAATTCGTCTTATTTGCCGAACTGAGCATGATGGTGTTACGGTGGGACCGAATGGAGAGACGCAAACTTTGACGATAAAAGCATTTAACGAGTGGGATTCTCGGGTCAGTTTATAAATGTTTTAAGGTCCAATTACTTACCATTCGTATATTGACATTTAGAATGAAGTTAAGAGATCTTGGTAATTTGAAATGTAGGCATGTAACCGTTATGCTTTTAGATAAGATGAAAGTTACATTATTTGTTTTAATGTTCATTTTCTCATCCAATTTTCAAGCATTGATTTGTGTATGATGCTTAGCAGACTAAGATGGGAACACAGTTTTTAGATGGCAAGTGGTGTAGACTGGAGAAGTAAATTAGATACTCAGAAAGGTGCTGTGCTTGCTACAGAACTACAAAATAATAGTTGCAAATTAGCAAAATGGACATTACAAGCACTTCTTGCTGGTTCAGATCAAATCAAGTTTGGGTTAGTAATCATTTCCAAATATTGGTTTTTCACACTTTGAATGTGCAAGATACTTGAAGCAATTGATAAAAAGTTCTAGATATCAGTTTATTCACATCAGTTAATGGCGTGAAATGGTGCAATGAAATTAAGTGGTTTTTCACTGCTTAACTTTATTTTTAATTATTTAATTTCACTCTCTCCCAAATTTTGTGTCGTGAATACTATAAATTAAATTTATAAACCAAAGATATTTAGCTACGTTTCGCGACTCAGTATACGTAATAGTGCTAGCCACGTCATCCTTGGCACTCAACAGTACAAACCGACTGAATTTGCTACAAACATTACATTAAATTTAGACAACGCTTGGGGTATTTTGCGTTGCATAATTGATCACTGCATGAAGCAGCCACCAGGAAAATATCTTCTTTTGAAAGATCCAAACAAGGTTCATATTAGATCTCCTAATGTTCGTTTCTAAGTTCAACAAATTTTGATTGTACGGTCTATTGTTAGGCATAATTCTATCGTTGCCCTTTTTTCATTAAATAGTTACAATTGTTTCTTAGTAGTAATGATGTTTTTTATTCTTTTAAAAGATCTGAAAGCAGGCATTACATGAACATATAGACGTTGTTTGTGGTCGGATTTGATTTCTTTTTTCGAAAGCACATGTATGTTCAAAACTTTTTTAAGGAAAATTTTCAGCAAGCAGTACGGCTTTATTCTTTGCCTGAAGGAACGTTTGAATCAAGTGCTGAAGAGGAAAGTAATAACTCGGGAGATGAGAACTCTGATGGTGAAGCTTAGATTTATATAGTAACAGTTTTATGTGTACTATATATATTTTAATTTCTTTTTTTGAGTCGTCCATTGAAAATCATAGATTCTTGGCATTGTAGTTTATTAAACCATTGTTACAAATCTTTCATACATCTAGTACAAAGTTTTGACTTTATTCTCTAGTTCATTGGTCCTGTATTGAGAATTCTTATTTTCTTGATTTTCACAGTCCTCGTTCTCACACTGTAAGCAATTTTATTTTGCTGCTATTATTAATAAATTTGGCAATTTAATATTATTTTTAATAAATTGATGATATAATATTCCTTGTGAAATATAGTGTTTATTCAAACTTATTTTGGGGACTACATATACCACTTTGATTCCGTAAGATTGAGGATTTAGCAGACTTTAAGAATATGCGTCTGGCTAATAGTGGTTACTGTTTGCCTCTGAAGTTTTGTTGATGTGATACGACATGAGGGATTTGAAAGCCAGTTTGGTCAGTTGTAGGAGCCATTTGAGATATATTTACGATTTGTAGTGTCCATTTGAGATATATTTACGATTTGTATTGTCCATTTGAGATATATTTACGATTTGTAGTGTCCATTGGTCTATCAAGACTCATGAGGTTTTGTGTCTTGACTTTGTAGGTTACTTTGGTTGATAAAAGTTCTCATGCCAACATGATTAGACTGTCTGACTGACCTTCCATTGAACAATCTTCATTTTACTGTGATTTTAATGTGCTTGATTGCATCCTTTGAGATTGTCAGGGAAACAAATAAATGTGACAGAATTCAGGCGGGGACACGTATCTAAAGTATATCTCGTGTTTTCCACAAGATATGGATACGATACGTAATGTAGGCATTTACTCTATGTTTTGTGTTGTAATTGTTTCTGTCAAGAGTGAGAATTATCTATATTCATCTGTTATTGACCTTGTTAGTCTTCGAGATTATGCATAACGATTTGTAATTAAATGAAGTGACTTTGCAGCATATTTGAGTAAGATTGCGCATGCACTTGGAAAACTAATTTTTTCTTAAATTCAATGCTAGGGTTGGTTCATGTACTACCACGTTTGTAGCACTGCAGTTAATATAAATTTTCTGCTCAAATATTTTTTTAGAATGAGTTTTAGGCATTAGTGTCTTCATAAACTTTCATATACTGTACTATTCTCTGGCGATATCGATTGCAATGCAAGCAGTTCTGGCGTTGTGTCATTTTTGTGAGAATCATGGTCCGCGTGTATTGATGACAACACAGTCTGTCCCGGAAAACCTCCGAGATAATTACTGTTTGTTCAGAACAAGCAAAAGATCAACATCATCTTTAAACACTGGTCAGTTATTTATGGAAGATTCAAAATATTCCTATGATGGTTGCTACATTTGACATTTTTATATGATTAGTAGAGCTTTATAGGCTTATCTCTCAAGAAATATGGTTTATTTTAAAGAATACATGTCATTTCATCGTGAGACCGGTTTTGAGCAGCTTCTTATGAAAATATCGATAAAAGGTAATAAATGTAGTGAATCAAATTATAGGCATTTATGTTGTATAGTTCTTTAACGTTTCATTCTCAATTGAAATGTTGAGGAAAATTAACTTTCCTTATTCCTCATATAGGCTAATCAAAAATAGCAGACTGAATTTTCCAAATTGATTGTTTGCAATTTCTCTTAATTAGGAAAAGAAATCAGCTGCTTGGGAACAATTTTTAGAAAATAGAATTGGGAGAAGAACAAATTTTCAGATTACGAGAAACCCGTATTGAAAAATGTTTTAATATCTGTGGAATTATTCCAAGAAAGATAAATTTTGGTGCTAGAGAATGAATAATCTATTTTAGTGGTTGTTCATACGTGGTGATTTTATTTGAATTTATATTATTTCAGGAGGTTTTTTCCGACGTGGCATTGAAGAGTCTCGTTGCGCTGCATGTACTTCGTTTGGCCAGTTTGGTCTAGTCACGAATGATGTTGAATCAGGAATAAGCTACATAAGCACACAGGTACTGAACTGATTTGAAAAAGCTGTCAAAGGCATTTTGTTGTCTGCATTAGTTTTTCTTCAGCATCTTCATTTAATTACTGACCTAGAAGTATGATTACAGTTATATACTTCCAATGGCTGACAAATTCTATACTTTGATTCGATGTCAAATTTAGAAACTAATAAAATATTAATAACTGAGAAAGCTTCGAACTTATTTTTTTTTTTCGTAAATTCAAAAAATTTACATTGCATCTTCTGTTTTACAAATGTTTGTATCTTGCAGACTGCTTTAAATGATCGAGTAGATCAATTAGTAATGCATTCATGTCTTCATTCACTGAGTTGTGAGGTACCTGCTACACCAAATGATAACTTTATGGCAGCATGCAGTACTACAAAGTGGGACAATCCATGGGAAGAAATTAATAGAGAAGCAAATGAAGGTGTCGTGTTATTCGGAGACGAAGAACACGGCTATACATTATCATTTACATTTAGGTGGTGATTACATAGATTTTTCATTCTCCATATAAGTGAAAACTCGCCTCAAAAGTGATTTTTATTTGCTCGTAAGAATCATCTGAGTTTGAAACTTTAGTTATGCATTATATTTTGTTCGCCGTTGAAAGTTGAGTTCTGTACCAGACGGATGTTTTCAGATATCTGTTAGTAATTCATTTCCTTGTAGCTTGAAGATTGTTAATTCAGAATTCATGATTGCAAGGCACGTGGTTTCTTACGCCTGTTTTCACTCGTCCTTGTTTCTATGGACAAGCTGTTTATCACTTACAATTATGACTTTTTCGTGGCTACAATGTCATCAATCGTTCGTCGTTTACAAGTGATGATTTATTATGCAAGGTTTTGAAATGATAAACATTTGATTTATTGCTAAAGATAGTTCGAACTCTACTTAGGAGAAATTACAGGTTCTATTTATGACCTTCTCTGAAAAATACATGCATTTGTAGAATGAATCTTTGTGCTGTATTTATGTTTATTGTTTCTAATTATTGCGATATTAATGTTTTTTGGTACTGAATTATTTACTTCTGTAGATAGAATCAGATGTCGTTTTTAATCGTGAACAAGAAGATCCGTCCAATGAAGTATTCAAGCAAGCTTCAGCTACACGATCTTTACTACTACCAGCACACTTTTTACGTACGCAAGTAACCAAATTCGAACTAGACACATCACGCAGTTTAGCACAAATCACGAACTGTGCAGATATTTTTACACAATTACATATGTAAAGTTTTATGATATGATTTCTCTCTTGAAAAATATATTTGCAGTTGGCAGCTATTTCATCACCTCATGAAGCTAGTTCATGTTCTTTTATGCTGCGTGATCTCATATTCAACTTATGCATCTAAGTTTTTTAAGATAAGTGAGGAGAAGTTTCTGAGTGTAAAGAATACATTTCTATAATAATTGTATTTAATTTTATTTTCAGGTTTATGGTTTATATATTGCGCACACAAACACGGTTATGCAAAGAGTACTTGTTAGAAGGGGTACCAACGCAGGATATGCTTGTAATGAAAGAACGTGAGACAAAAACTAATAATGATGCTAATGCAGTTGATTTAAATAGTTCTCGAAATCTGGAGTCCTTTGCAACATTGCAGCAAATTGCATCAAAGCTTGAAAATTTGAGAAAAGTTGATGATCACAGTGTTTTGGAGATTGTTTTGACGCAGTTAGTTACCGGTGGACAAGTTAGTTTTGTAATTTGTTCTAGAAATTAGGCAGCGTGTTTAAAAATCTTTTTTTTTTTTTTGGAAAAAACTTATTTTAATTTTTTCACTTTGTGTTTGCACTTTGGATTTAGTTTTGTATTATTTTAATAAAATTTTTCTGAGATGAGCAGGAATAAGGTTAGAAAATTGGTTCAAGGATATTTTATTAATATGTAACTTGGAATTTCGTTAGTCTTCTTTTCTTCCACTGAACATGTAACGGCGTTAGTCTTTTTCTTACAGATTGTTATCAAGTGCCAGGATCCAACGATCGCTCATTGTTTTCTCTTAGCACTTTCTAATTTGTTACCTCTCGGTTGTGTTCGTCTGTCATATGCCGAAAACTACCAACACGTTTTTGTGTAACTTTCGAATAGAATACTTTTTTCAACCATTTTTACTAGTTATAATTTTCAGTAAAAACATTTTTCGAATATTACCAGATCAGGGAAAATTCATAACATTATTGCCATATAGAAAAGATTAGGATTATTCAGAAGGGTTTTATCTCATGAACTATTGTGAGTTGAGCAACTCAGAATAGTTCATAAGATAAAATATCACATCTATTTGGAAACACTACGAGGTTCGAATAATTTTGTTAGTTTTAGATCTAATTTATTCGGATGTCCAATAGAGACCAAATTATCTCTAGATGCGGTTGATATTGTAGTTTTACGAATGGATATTTCACTTGAAAGCGTATGCTGCATGCGATCAGTATCAAGAAATCAAAAATTGCCATTTTTTTCGAAAAATTATATTCCACCGCAGTTGAGAGCATCATCAAAGAATGATAATGTAAGATCAGTATTTCACTGCAACTTGTGAGGAAAAAGAGTGTACTAATTAATATTCAAGTACTTCGCACCTTATTACTTTTTGAACAATAGAACAATGAATAGAACTGGTTGGTTATGGGCATCACGTTTGCTTGGTAGTTATTAGACATTAATATACTGTCTGTTACATGCACTCTTTTAATTTGAAAAGCATTTATTGACGTTTCTACAAACAACACTTTGAAGTTCTATTGAGAAAGTAATTTATTGTAGATCAACAATTGTATGGCACAAAGTTTGGTAGAACTGTTGACGATGAGAAAGATAGAAAATTTTGAAGGTTATAATTTATCATTGATTGCTTGTCCGCAATATACGGCACCAAAATATCGTCTACCGACCATTGTTATTCGATACAAGCAGCTTCTTTTGGGTATGTATAAAAAATTTATCTGGGAAGAAGAGTTTATGCTATTTGTTATTAATTAGGATGACTTCATGTAATACTTCTTGTATATTATTAAGAGTATTTGTGGTAATGATAGTGATTTGGGGTTGATTAAAGATTGTTAATTTACTATTGAAGTACGGGAGATCTTAATAAAGCTTTAACTCCAAGAACTTTAAAAATTGTGGTTCTGCTTCAGAATTTGGAATCGAACTAAGGTATATTTCTCTCTGCGTTGTCAGTAAATACGAACTACTGATTTGTAAATGAAAAGGATGCAGAGAAACTTTGTTAAAAAATAAATGTTTACGGCATTTACATTAGAATAAGTTTTCCTTTCATTGTTTATGAGGAATTCTTATATATTATTCTCTAAATTTAGATAATGATCTTACATCTCACGTCCTGGCATCTGTTGTACAAAATACAAGAGAAGAATGGTTAAGCAAAGCGAAACTTTTTTATCAGCTTGGACGACAAAAAGTAAAGATCGATTTGAAAAAAGTACTCCAGGTTCTGAAATGTTCTGAACAGGTTTGTTATATTTGTAAAACTAATATATTTAGAGAAGGCACTTATTCTATCAAATGAGCATGCAAATATTGATTCAAGAATTATCTTATTCATGCCACACTCAAACCTAAAATTTTCTTTTATATATTCAGTGCCTGTAAACTGTGAATTTAACAATTTTTAGAATTGAATCTAGGATGTTAGTTTGGGATAATTAAATGGTGGGAAGGAGACATGAATAATTTACGGAAATTTCCGTGATTCTTTCATTAGGCTCTGGAAATGAGTTGAGGGGCAGGGCCGTCATATTCCATAGAAGTAGTAAAAGTGATTGAGATTTTCTTTTCTTACAGGATGGACCCGTTATTTTATTCTTCCAAGCTGGTCTGTCAACTTCATACAAACGTCAAGTTATGGAAGTTATAAAAAAGGGCACTGTGTAAGCAGATTAATTCAAATTGATTTGATGCTAATTTGTTGGATTCGTTTCATGCTTTTTCACTTGTGGTGGCTGACAACGATTGTGTTTCATACTGTTGATATACGGGGGTAAGAAAATGGCGAAGTAGACTTACAAATTCTATTTATGTAAGGTTCCTTTATTAAAAGTTTATTTATGAAAATGAATACTGACATGGTTTTTTCCTCACAAAGAAAAAGTATAAAATTCGAATAACAACAAATTGGTGATTATATTTGTATTTTTACCTGCGCCTGTCTAAACATTGTAATAACATTGTTTGCAAACTCTCTAGGCATCACATAGCAGATGGGATGTGTCGTGCGTATCCAAAAATTTATCATATTTTTATACTGAGAACAATTTTGTTCGTGATTGTGTTGTATTTTATCTATAAACTCCACACGTTCACTGGTAAACAGATTACCAGTTGTAGATAATATTATTTCACTTCAATAAAATTCAAGAGCTTCTCTTGTCATATTCTTGGCAATTAATTGTACAGCAAATTACTTTTTTTCGGTTTTTAAATTCCATATTGAAGTGTCAGTAATATTGTAGATCAAACTGCAGCTTTTTTAAATGCTTTATCGTGTTTATTCTTTTGTCGCAGTTTTCCTACATATTTTTACGGGTTCCCATATATAATTATAATTTTGATTGCATGATTATATCGCTTTCATTTTACATGGTTTCTTATCAAATACACTTCTTACTGGCTATTGTTCATTGTTAATTCGAAAATTTAGTGTGTCAGGCATATGGATGGTTACAAAGGTAACATACAGCACTTATTTCCGTAAAGTTCTTAAAAATTTCTGACATCCAAGTTTGCGAAATTTGGCAGTCATGGTGAACTACCATCATTTGATCAGCAATAATTTTTGTCATTGAAGAATCAGATGCCATTGAATTGTATTATTACATTTAACTAGTTTAACAGATATTTGCTTATCAAATGGTGGACTCTGAGTCGCAAATACTGAGATAAATAGCCACAATCATGTTACTTAGGTGGTGTTTTGAATGCTAATCATTTAGACGGACTATTTCTCTCATTTGTAGTGTTCTGACCTGTCACTTCGTCGAGTCCTCAATGATGGTCAAGTGAGATGCTTTCGAGTGATCACTATCGGTTGGTCATTTGCCTTAAGATAGTTTCCTTCACGTAGCGTTAATGGAAGGTCGTTGTTACAGTCCCAGCACAAGTCATCGTATGAGGAATTAATTTCGTTTTGCTCTTCATCTTAGCACCAGATCTATTAGCCAGTTAATCATACATTCGCTTTCTCTCGGTCTCAACTGTTGTCAACATGTCTTGACCAATAGTGCCAACCTTTATCTAGATTACTTCATGTCCCTTTCTATTGTTTATGCTTATCTGCTATCATTTTGCTTAGTCCTTATTGTTGACTGCATACTTACACATTAAAAAATTAATTTTTATTTCATGTCTCTTTTTTTATTGTCTCTTTTTTTATTGTGGATCATGATTTGTGGATCACTGTCTCTTTTTTTATTGTGGATCATGATATCCTATCGTATGTTCAAACGCGCTACCAACTCTACTCTCATTTTGCGGCGATCTCCTAAACATGAATTCGCTTGAGCGGGAACGCTTTCAGACCATACTTCTTGCAGAGTCTCAGATGGAAACGCCGCAAAACTCATTATGTCTTCTAGCAAACTCAGTGCAGCATTTTCTCAAGCTGTGTTAATTAGATAGTTCATTGTTTTCGCACGTTCCCTACAATGTTCGCACATACCTTTCTCAGCTTTAAACATATTTCTATCTTGGAACTGCCAGTATCGTGCTTCATCTTGCGGGGTAATGTTTCCCTACCGTAGCCACATTCATGATTTGGCTGTGGAGGTAGTTCACGCATCTTTTATATCTTTGCATGACTAATTCTCTATTTCGCCGTACCGCAGCGCTTTCTGCACTGCTATTAGATTTTCAGCTGTTAGATTTTCGTTGTATTTAGTCTGAAAGTAAGGTAAAATAAGTGCCAAGTACGACCCTTCTTCAGCTTCAAAATGGCTGCAAAAATTTTAATTCAAAAAGTACGCGAAAATACTGTTAACATCATGATAAAAAGTGCAAAAAAAATAAAAAACGAAATTCTGCTGTAGCAGAAATTATACAAATGATACAATATTTGTTACACAAATACTTATTGGTACGGCAAAATTTCTGAGAAGAATTGATAAGTATTTAAAATGATGGCAGTCGGGATCAAAATCAGAATGAGGTTGCAAGTCATAACTTGGAAGTGATGGGAAATCTGGAATCTGGATGTGATCTGTCTAAAATTTCCTGGATAACAGTATCTGTCTGTCAACAGTATCTGTCACAGTATGTTATGGAATAAAAGTATAATTTATATTTTTGAGTATGACCTCATAAACTTGTAAAATATTTTTTTAATTTAAATTAAACGTGATATCCGCATTTATTATTTAGTTCAGTTGTAACTTGAATTGAATTTAAGACTGAATAATCTTTGCCAGTAGAATTAATAAAGGCAAAAAAAGCTCTTCAAAATACAGTGTTCTGTATCAAAATTCGGAGTTTGATTATTGTATTGTTAAATGAATAAGGCTGAACGGAAGCTGAAAAGCAAAATAATATGTGCAGTAACACATACAAACACAAAAGTGGACAATAATGCCTGTGCTTGATTTAAAAATTTTGAGCGCAACTACACAAAATTTTGCCTAGTTGCTTTGAAAACTGGCGTGGATTTATTTATGTTATAATGATTAAGTATCAACTTCAGGTAATTGTATGCAAAAATATCACTTTTTCTTTTTTAAGCAACCTACTTTTTGAGACACGTATTACTTTGATGACATAAGCGAGCAAGCATTAATCACTTATGACGTATATTTATGCGCATATATTAGTATTTGTACATGATTTACGTCAAAAAGAATGACTTCAAGTTAGGAGCAAATCAGTACTCGACAGATAATTTCAAAATATTTTTATTGGATTATTACGAAATAATTAGCTGACTAGCCAGAAAAAAAAATCAGCCGAACCTCCCATATTGCACTTACGTTTCTGGAACCCGCCTCTTTCGGAAACTTCTAGAATTATCCTGGGATAATCCGGTCTGGCATTCGAAAGTCTAGAGCTGTGTTGCGTCGCTGGATTTCTCCTGACGCATTTAATTTCGTAGACATTTTGCAAATATCTACTGAATCAAAATACTTCAAGCCTGCGAGCCATTTTTATCTGAAAACTCATTATAACTTAAGGATATTTTTTCCTTATTTTGAAATTTTTCTAGTGATTATAGTGGTATATTTCGCTTCTTTCCAGTTAATGTACTGTTTATTATTTTCAGATAGCTGACCACATGAGACCTTGAATTCCTTGACGCAAATATTTCTGATTCTACTAATCTTCAAGTGTTTGCTACTCAGTAAAATTATCCACTTTCCGTTTTTTTAACCTTTTTAACCTAATAGCTTGATCCACAAAGATATGGATTTTGCAAAAGCTTTTCCTTTCAGATTTTATATAAATATATATTTCTAAATATAAATATATATATATATAGACACTAAATATATAGACATTATTAAATGTTTATACTATTCACTGTATCTGTTTAAAATTAATTATCGTCGTTCGATTAATAATAATAATAATAATAATAATAATAATAATAATAT